TACACTGACCAGTCCTCCAGAACCAGGACTGGATACCACTGCACTAGATCAGGGCTGCTCTCCCCCAGCTCTCCCATTCCAGGTCATTGCAGGACTTTGAGCCTCCCAGTAAAGTATTTAATTGCTTAATTGACTTAGAGCTGTAACAAAGACCTGCAACCGAATGGAATAGGAGCTCGAAATCAGGGGTCTCCACACCCGGTCCTGACCGCTCCAGTCCAGTCAGTCCTTCAGGTCCGTGTGAATGCGATTAGGAACAGTTTGATCAGCTCTGGTCCCGGAGAGCTGAAGGCAGATCACCTGCACAAGCGAACGGGTTCAGTCGGCCCAGGTCTTCAGAAAGAGGTGCTTTAACGGCGACCCACAGAGGCAGGCGGGCTGAGCTGAACGCCTCTCTCTCGTACCCGACTCTACAGCAGGCGCGGGCCGGGCGGTAGGGTGGTGTCTGTCGGGCGTGCTCCTGGCACCGGGCTTCGGGCTTGGCGCCGAGCCTCTGAGCGCCCTCCCTCCCCGGCAGGTCTGCTGGCTGTGGACGTGGTGCCGTCGGCCAACCCCGTGTACGTCGGGGACAACGTGACCCTGGAGCTCCGCCCCCCCACCGCCATCAGCACCGGCACCTGGCTGTTCGACGGCAGCACCGTGGTCATGCTGTTCCAGCACCAGCAGGAGGCCTTCCCGGGATACGAGGGGAAGGCCAGCGTGGATCTGAGCTCCGGGGCCCTCTTCCTGGAGTCCGTGCGCCTCAACGACTCCGGGATCTATCGATTCCAGGGCCTGGTGCCCCGGATCCTGGGAGAAGTCAACCTGACCGTGCTGGGTGAGTAGCTTTCCGTGGCGAGGAAGAGGAGGAGGAGGAGTCAAGGGGTAGGTGAGGCAGGGGGGGGAGCTGGGAGAGGGGCCGTTTCGGAATTTGCCAAAGGAGAAGAGGGGGAGCCGCTGGACGCCAGGTGGGGTGATGTCCGTCGGGGGGCATCTGTGTTTGCAGCTGTCCGTCAGGGGGAGGGAGCGGTCACTGTGGTCCCCAGGGGCCTCGGACGAGCTCAGCCGTCTCGGTCACTCAGGAGCCCCCCTCTTCACATGGGCCAGCGGGAGTCTGCGACGCATTCGCCCAGCAGAGTCCGGACACGAGTCTGTCAGACCTTCCCCCACTCTGTCTGACCTGCTGCTGGATCTGTCCCAGAGCAGCCCTGAGCCCAGAGCACTCAGCACTCACACGGGGCCC